AATGTTTATGTGGCATGACAGGAAGCCATAATGTGGGGAGGGTCCAGTTTTGCTCTTTTATAACAACTAGCTCTTGGGAGAACTAACTCAGGGTCTCACAGGAACTATCTTAGACCCTCTCAAGGACAATACCCCCAGTGACCTAATTACTTTCTACTACGTCCCACCTTTTAAAGTTTGTTGTTGTTTTACCTTGTACACTACCACATTGAAGACTAAGCTTCCGTGAAGACACACTCAAACCATATCCAAACCGTGGCAGCACCTGATAGAAAAATCAATGACTGTTCATTAAAGTACGCAGTTCAGTGCATGGAATAATGCCAGGTACTCCAGACTCTTGGAAGGATTTTGTATTCCATTTGAGGAAGTAGATAAGTTCTTATCAATGTCTTCTTAGCCATAGCCATAGTAACTTCTTTAGGGTAGGGTAGCGCTGAAACTCTTCATAGGAAGGGCTGGATTTGAGCTTATCATTAAGGATAACTAAGATTTCTCTTGGAAGATACAGATAAGCAGACAAGTTATAGGAATTGGGCTGATCAGAAGGTGGATACATATAGTGATACAGTGATGAGTGGTTAGATTGTGAATAAATTCATCCAGTCTCTTAAGTCTTGGCTCTTCCCTCTGAATGGTAATGATCATTATTCGTGTTCGAATAGCACTCTTCAGTTTATAAAGTATGTATCATATATACATTACTACTTTATTGTTTCAACATTTTAGTGACTTTGAAATGACCCTCTCTAGATACCTAGTCCTGCCCTTAGTGAAGGGTAGAATCTGATCTCCTCTCTGCTTTCATTATACTATTTTTTAAAATCAAAACTAGTGGGTTTTTGAATTTTGAAATACTTAAAGGGTTTTTTTCTTACTTTTCTATAAATTTATCACAATAGATGATTTGCCTATTCAAATCTAGTTTAAAAAAACAACTAAAGATTTTTCTATCTTCATCCTTCTGTCCCTGCTCACTGGAGACAATTAGTATTTAGTATAAGGTTAGTGTGTGTCATTTCTATCCATATTTTTATTCTCTCATTATATATGTACATATCTATAATGACAATTTTTATTTTAAATTTTATATACATTATGTATGGTTGCTCCTTCATATCCACAGGTTTTGTACTGATAAATACCACTAATGTAAACAATATTACAAAAAAATTATGCCCTTACTGAATTTGTACAGACTTTTTCATTATTCCCTAAACAATACAGTATAACCACTATTTAATAGCATTTACATGAGGTATTAAGTATTATAGACAATTTGGAGATGAGGAAGTATTATTTGGATGTGCATAGGTTATATGCAGATGCTATACCATTTTATATAAGGAACTTGAACATTCTAGGATTTTGGTATCCCTAGCCCCTTTTATTTTATTTTGAGACAGTGTCTTGCCAAGTTGCCCAGGCTGGCCTTGAACTTCAAATCCTTGAACTTCCTGAGTAGCTGGGATTACAAGGATGGGCCACTGCCTCTGGCTGGTGGTGTCCACATATTTTTGCAAGTTGCTTCTTTTTACTCACTGGTTTATATTTTATAAATAGACAATACTCTTGGTCCAGGAGATCTGATGGTGGGTAGTGAAGATAAGATTATCTCCCTACTAACATTTCAGTGGTGAAGACAGTGTAAATAAATAAAATTGATACTATGGTATCAGGTTTTTTAGGGTAAATGTTATGAGGGATGGACAGGGTTGGGATAGGGTTTTGTGAAGTGGAGTGAAATCTATTTTTGATAAAGTGGTCAGGGAATTTCTCTTTCAGGAGTTGTCATGTGAGCAAATGAATTAATTGAGAAAATGAGCCATGTTAAGATCTGGGAAAAGAGAATTCCACAGGAGGGAATATCAAGTGCAGAGGCCTTGAAGTAGAAATAACCTTAGAGTCCTTGAGAAATGGAAAGAAGTCAAGTGTAGTTAAGTGTAGAGTTAACTGGAAGAATGGTTATGAAATGAGATTGGAAGAAGAAGCCAGGGGCCAGATCATGTAGGTCCTATAAAATAATATAAGGAGTTTAGATTTTGAGTGTCATGAGAAGCCACTAGATGATTCTTTTGAGCAGGGAAATGTTATGCTTTGTCCTACTAATTGAATTAATTTTACACTGAAATTTTGTGTTGTAGAGAAGAATGTGGAAACTCTAGATAAAGATCTGCATCTAATATGGAAAGATCTTAAAGATAAATTTCAACACTTTTTTTTGCACTTTTTTTCAGAATGCAACTACTTATGTAAAGAAAAATATACATTCACATTTGCTTATTTATGTAATATTTCTTTGGAAGGACATTAAAGGCAAATAAAAGGGATGACCTATGAGATGGGGAACTGATGATAGAGAGAATGGGGAGGAGAAATCAGATCACAGTTCACTTTTTATGTGTCAACAGAATATATTAAAATCATGCAGAAAAGTGTTCCTATAATTAGTACCCAACCAGTTGAATTTTCACAAACTGAAATCTTACATATAACCATCTAGAACTATAAGCACAAACTGTATCAGGATAGTAGAAATCCCTCAGATTCTCTAATAATTGTTACTCCCTTTGTAGGACCACCATCATATTAACCTCTACTAGTAGGCATTTTTTTTAACTTGGTTTTTGTACCAGTGAGCACTCTTAATTTCATTCTGTTACTATAATTTGATTGTAGATACTGTTTTTATTTTAGCACTATTTAAATAATGCCTTAATAGGCTCTTGTTGGTAAAAGGTTAAAACAGTAGAGAAGTATATGGAACAAGGTATACAGGACCCCTTTCTTCTGCCTCTTCCCAGAGATAAGTGCAATGAATAATTTAGTACATAGCCTTCTGGTGCGTATTCTCTGTTTATATACACAATTAACTTTTTTTCCCCATATTTTGAATGATGATGATAATAGATGAATAGTTAACATTTATTAGGTACTTTCTATGCACCCTGCATAGTTGTAATTTAGATGGGGAAACAAGGAGAAATACCTTCCCTAAAAGTTACAGTATCTATGTTATTCTAATGGTTGTATAGCATTTTTATACTATATCTCATTTAAACTTAGTTGATCGTATTGTTTCTATAATCACTTAGATTATTGTTTCTATAATCATTTAGAATGAGCTGTGTATTCTGAATTGTGGTTTTTAAGTTCCTCTCATGTCTCTCCCTCTTTCTCTCTCTCTCTCTCTCTCTCTCTCTCACACACACACACACACACACACACACACACCCCTTCTGTCTAGACCCCACTGTGATTTTGTATTCCTCAATAAGATCTCAGTCATCAGACTTTTTTTTCTTCTCTGTGGTCAGGAAATGCTCTGTTTATGTCTGCCTGATTTTTTTTTTTTTTTTTTTTTTTGTTAGTGTCTCTTTGCCTTTGGAATTTCTTTTCTCATCTGAGGCAAACATTGCCTTTACTTTCTGATCCCAGTTGGATTTTGTCCTACATCCTCAATGTAACTATGACTGAGATCAGCTCTTCTTATAGCTCCTTTATATATGCCTGTTACTGAAAAATATGCTTTTTCTTGTTATATCTCTAGTTTAATGTAGCCAGGTTTGCTTGCCTGGCAAAAACATCCTACACAGGATCCTGACATTAGAAGTATATCTTTAGTTTCTTGTACCCCTCTCCCATGGTTACAGCTTAGCAGTATGGACAGCCACTGCTATTAGTCACCACCATCAGCAGGCAGAACAATTCCTGGCACTTACAGGCTCTCAGCATGTATATGCTGAATGAATTAACCTGTTGGTTCTTAAGAAGAAACCTATTTGGTGTGACTTTTTCTTTTTTCTTTTTTTTTTTAAGCTCCATAATGGCTGATCATAGTATATGGCACATAATAAGCAACCAGTAATTATTCCTGATGTTTAACTCAGTTGTTTTTTTTTTTTTTTTGGTGTGTGTGTGTATGTGTGTGTGTATGTGTGTGTGTGTTTACCTGGTTTTAACTGAGTGCATGTATTCTTTTCTGGGAAGATATGGTCCATCCTAGAACAATCTTGACTATAGAATTTGCTAGCATTTGTCAAAGGCTACAGCATTAGTTGGTAAAATGGCACAAGAAAGGAAGTATCTTTTATTACTGACATTCTTTTTTTAAATGTTTCACTAAGTGCATGTTGACTGTAGTTGGTTGTATAGTGATGTACAGGGATTTTACCCACTCTTAGCAGTAGAACGCCACTGTGTATCACTTGCTCTTGTCATCACCAAGAACTTTTAGTGGGTCAGAATGGTATTTTGCATGGAGCATCTTCACTAACTAATATGCATAAAATATATAAGCCAGTAGAAATTATAAAATATAAACTTCTTTGGGTTGAATCATATATTTAATCTCTCTAAATCTCTTTAGCATTCTTAGTTTTAAAAATAGACACTTTTCACTTTCTGGCAGTTATATGTACTATGACTGATTTGAGAGTTTGGTACATATTATGACAACTTTTAATATAATTTGCATCTGATAATGTGACTTGAATAATCTCAGCTTCTCTGGTAGAGTGTCACTGGGTTCACTCCTTAGTATCACCAAAAACAAACAAAAACTTTAGGGAATTTTGATTACCTCAGGACATGTCATGTTCAGAATTGACAGCATGTAACATATATGAATTTTGGTGAAGGAAAGAACTTCATAAGCAAATCTTAGAGGACTCTTTTAGGCCTTAGTAGCTTGACCAAAGGAAATAGAGTCTTTTTGTTTTGTTTTTGATAAGATATAGAAAGTAAAGTAGCCTGTTTTTACTCTTTGTTATGGTATGTCATTGTCAGTCGATTAATTATTTGTTCATGCTGTGAAGAAGGAAGTAAGAAGTCACAGAACCTTTAGAGAAAATTTCTTCTTCTAGATTTATGTTTTTTGTTTTACTTTGTAATGCTTTTCTGTTCTTAGTGACAAATAACACATTTTTCAGTTATATTGACTTAAATATATGTAAATAGAATTGGTTTAAATTAGGATCCTTTCCTGCTTTCTCTTTTAGGACTTGAACCAATGAAAGAAGCATATGGCACTTGTGAAGATAAATGTCACTCCTCCTTCTTTAATTGGACCTTCTGCTTAGGACCTGTATGTGACTTTTCACCTGTGATCTGTTCTTTCAGTAGCTACTGACTTTGATTACAGGAAGGTCTCTGAAGATTTGTATCAAATGACGTCAATGGCCAGCTTGTTTTCTTTTACTAGTCCAGCAGTGAAGCGATTGTTGGGCTGGAAACAAGGTGATGAGGAGGAAAAATGGGCAGAAAAGGCAGTCGATGCTTTGGTGAAAAAACTGAAAAAGAAAAAGGGTGCCATGGAGGAACTGGAGAAAGCCTTGAGCAGTCCAGGACAGCCGAGCAAATGTGTCACTATTCCCAGATCTTTAGATGGACGCCTACAGGTTTCTCACAGGAAGGGCTTACCCCATGTTATATATTGTCGTGTTTGGCGCTGGCCTGATTTGCAGAGTCATCATGAACTAAAGCCATTGGATATTTGTGAATTTCCTTTTGGATCTAAGCAAAAAGAAGTTTGTATCAACCCTTACCATTATAAGAGAGTGGAGAGTCCAGGTAGGTTTTATTGTCCTGAGAATAATTAAAAACAAAACTAAAAAGGAAAAAACAAAACAAAAAAACATGTCTCTGGCTGATTAGTGTATAATTAGTTTATTAATTGAAAGGTTCTATTGACCTTGTGTTGCCTTTTTAAAGATTTAATGTGGGAGGGATACTGGATTTACTTTTTTTATATATATAAGTGATATAACTCTCAAATGGCTTGTTCTGATTCTTTGTTCACTGTAAACACCTATATATACACTTAGATGATCTGCCTTTCTCATATGTACTAGATCTTGTTCCTTTTGGTCTATTCAAGAATTTTGTTCCAACGATATCATCCGTCTTCCCAGCATCATATTGTCCTCTACCAGACTATTTCTGATAACATATAATCATGTTACCACCCATCCTAAAATAAGAGTTAAAAAAGAATTCCTGTCCTGACCTCATTCACACACTCCTATTCCTTATCTATTGCATTTTCTTCTGGTCTTATAAAAATTCTCCATTTTCATTATCTGTACATTTTATTTTTCCTTCTTTCTTGTTACTTTTCCAGTTAGTCTTTCTTCCCTACTATTGAATGTGTCACCATCACTAGTGACTGCCTTTTTACAAATTAAGGTTGTTTCTTGGTCTTACTTCCTTCTCATAGTTTGGCATAGTTGGTCTTCTGCCCTCCTATTCAAAACTTTTTCTCTTTGACTTTCAAGACACTACTTTCTCCTGATTCTCCTATCTCACTATCCTTGTTCAGTCTCTTTGATGCCTTATTCTACTGTTTCTTAGGACTTAGTACTTGGATCTTTTCTCCATCTGTGTTCTATCATAAATGCTGTCATGCATTAAGTACCTCATGTTTGTTAAGTCATCTGTAAGCTGATGCTTACATTTTGAACTCCAGTGTCAACTTCTCCCTTAGTTTTAGACTTATACATCCAGTTATCTACTTGACATCTCCCCTTAAATGTCTAATAAACATTGACTTTTGATTTTTTTCCCCCTATTAAATCATTTTTTCTCCTGTTTCTCTATTGAAGTGCATGGCAATATTCATGTAATTACTGTTGTCTAAGCCTAAGTTCATTTTTATTCTTAAGTCCTATATTTGAGCTATGAGCAAATGCTGTTTACTGTACCTTCAAAATATATCTTGATATTATCACCTCTTACCATCTGTAAGCACTACTTTAAAACAGATTGTCATCATCTCTCAACTTAGTACTCTTCTAATTGTTCTCTCTCCTTTCCCCTCAACCCATTATATTTTCTATGTGGCAGCCAGAGTGACCTTTAAAACAGCATATGTCAAATCATGTCAGTCCCTACTAAAAACTCTTTAAAGGCTTTCTGTCACACTTAGAGCAGGTCTCATGACCTGTCCTCAGACTTCTGTTCCTTGGACTTGTCTACTCCTGTTTCCAGGCATTATATATTGCCTTTTCTTCTAAAGGACTCTCCCCTTGTCATATTTTTGTGGCATGCTTTCTCACTCTATTTAGTACTTGCTCCAAAAGCACCATCACTTGTTGACTGTTAGGTATTTATTTTGTTTACTGACTGACATAAGTAGTGTCTTCCTTAGTCTCATTCATTACTGCATCCCCGGTGTCTAGAGTAACATTTCCAGCACTTAGTAGGTGCTACTCTGTATTTTTTTTTGGGGGGGGTAAGGAATGAATTACCTAAACTGACGTTTTAGTTCATTTATTGCTGCTACAACAATACCACAGACTGGGTAAATTATAAACAATAGAAAGTTATGGGGGCTGGGGTTGTGGCTCAGTGGTAGAGTACTTGCCTGGCACATGTGAAGCACTGGGTTCGATCCTCAGCACCGCATTAAAAAAAATAATAAAATAAAGTTATACACACACACACACACACAAAGTTTTAAAAAAAAGTTATTCAGCTCATGGTTCTGGAGACTGGAAAGTCCCATGGTGAGGGGCTGTCTCTGGTGAGGGTCTTCTGATAGCATCATATGATGGCAGAATAGCAAGCTAGCATAAGTGAGGCAGGGGAGAAGACAGAGGGGGCTGTACTTAAAACAGAATCAATTCTCATGATAAATAACCCACTCCTGAATTACCTCTTATCAGGCTTCACCTCCCAACACTGTTATATTGGGGATTAAGTTTCCAACATGTGAATTTTGGGGACATATTGAAACCACAGTAGCTAAGATAGTAGCTGAGTGCATTAGTTATCAATTGCTATACAACAAATTACTACAGATGTAGTAGCTTAACACATTTATTACCTCACAGTTTGTGGATGAGCATCTAGTCATAGTTTAGCTGGCTTTTTGCAAGCCTCTAATGAAAGTGTTGGTCAGGGCTGAGGTCTTATCAAAAGTTCAGATGGGGAAGGCTCTGTTTCCATGGTCACTGTAATTGTTAACAGAATTCAGTAGTCCTTGCAAGCTGTTGGACCCTTGCTGATCATCAACAAGAGATTGCCTTCAGTTGCCTACCATATGTGCATCTGCATAAGTAGTTTACATTTATGGCAGCTTCTTCCTGAAAGAATGGCATTATGTTTTTATGGAATGTAATCACATACCTCCTGTCATTTTGCCATATTCTTTTGGTTAGAAGCAAATCACAGTCATCCTTACACTCAAGATTTACCCAAGAACATGAATAATCAAAGGCAGGAATCATGGTGGCCATCTCAGAGTCTGTTCACCACACTACAGATAACATAAACCCAGTGTAGTAGAAAGACCAAAAGTAACATTGAACGTGGAAACTAGTAAAAAGAATAGAAGTGATTGTCCTGTCAGGGAAATTCCAACTTGAGAGCGTTAGAGCTGCTATTTGATATTTGAGATGATCTTCAATTTCTCATGGAGTCCCAGGAAAGCTGCAGCCTGAAGGAATTGATGAAGAAAGGAAAATGGGAAGATTTCATAGAGATGTCTGCAAAACTCTCAAGTCTACATATTTGCTAATAGTAAGTCTAGTAAGTGTGTTACTTCCATAGCCAGGGTGTGACTGCTACCAGAAGAAGTTTTTGTTTCTTTAAGAATCCATTTTTCTCAGCTACAATCATTCTATAGAAAGAGCAAAAGCATACCTCTGATACTTTTAAAAACACTAGAGATCACCTATCTTGCTAGATGGAATGTTAAGAAAACCAATTTTTGGAATACATGCCTGTAATCCTAGCTACTCAGGAGGCTGAGGCAGGAAGATTGCAAGTTTGAGGCTAGCCTAGATGAATTTGTGAGATCCTGTCTGGGGGGGAAAAAAGATTGGTGATATAGTGTAGAGGCAGAACTGGTTTAATCCCCAGTATCACTAGCAAACAAACAAAAACAATAAAAAAGAAAAACAACAACAACAACAAAACATTATTTGGACCCAAGTTCATCCGAGCATCTTGGAGGGTGGAGGAGGTGGCAGATTGGCCCAGTTCCAAGCACAAGATGATCACTTCATACAACTGTCTTACTAAAGTAGTATTAGTGTTTATGGACTAGGTGGTTTTCAAACCCTATGAGGTTATTCCTTCATAGAATTAGAAAAGGGTACTAACATTTTAGACCCCTATGAGTGTATAAATTTATAGATAAAGAAACTTAAAATTGAAAGTAAAGTAACATAGAGGATCACCCACTAGCTGGTATACGGTATATTGCACAAAGGTAAAAATTATGGAAGATAGTTGGGAGGTGTTGCATACTAATTAAGATTGTGGGTTCTGGAGCTAGACTTTCTGGATTTGAATTCTGGTTTTACTCCATACTACCAATATGAATTCAAGCAATTTACATAAACTTTCTGTGAAATTAATCTAGGTAATTATAAAATAGGAATAGTACTACTCACCACCCAGAATTGTTATGAGGATTAGATGATTGAATGCATGAACATGTATTTAAATTAAAACATCATGTGATTCAGAATGGATTTCAAATTAAATAGTGATTCTAGAATAATACATTCTGAAAATAGAACATGGGGGAAATGGCAGAGAAAAAATTTCAAAGGAATACTATTGCTCAAGCAATTGTAGTGGCTCATTGACCATGTAATCAGAACAAGGGATTGAAAAAGATTTACACATGAAATCTTAGGAAAGCATGGGTAAAAAAAAAGATTCTGAAAGCTTCCAGAGAGAAAAATTTAGGGCATCTACAAAGGATTGGAAATCAGAACATTGGATGTCTCAGTGCAATTTGGAATTCTAAAGAAAATGAAGCAGTGCCCTCAAAATTCAGAGGGATAAAAGTTATCTGGAATTCTGTCTGCAAACAGAAAACTTTTTTTTCCAGGTATTTTTTATATATAAAAATTTCTTATCCTTTCTTAGGAAACTAATAAGATGAGGCCCAGGAAATGGGATCCAATCCTACAGGAGGGAAGGTTTATGGGAATCTTGAGTAGCAACCAATCCAGGTTGGAGCAAAAGGGAAGAAAGACTCAAAGGAAAACATGAAATTAATAAATTATTTGATGATTGTGCTGTATGAAAAATAATATTGATAGGCATTTGGCAGACCTGATGGAATACTGAAATTAGTGGTACACACTTAAAATTAAGCAAATAAAGGATCAAGGCAATACTTAACTTTAATAAAAGCACTGTTTGAGTTGAAATCACAGAACACTTGGCTCAACAATGTTTAATATATATGCATATATATACGCACACATATATACTAAATATAAACACTGGATATTTATCACAGTTTTTTATGACAGTTGTGGGGAAGGGAAATGGGAATGGAATAAAACAAGAAAGCTGCCTCATTTGCTACAAGAGCAAGTCTACAAATAATGTCTTGACAAATCAGTAATAGCAATATGTTATTTAGCAGTGCACAAAATAAATATCAGAAGAAATGGTTTAATATCTAAATTTGTTATTTATGGAAACAATATGGGAGACGGCTAGAAATTGCTGTTTTGTTATAATCTTATCATTTTTATATGTTTATGCTGTAGTCTTTATAAACTCCACATATTATTTTGGAATAATAAAATAGCTTTAAAAATTTATGTATGCACATAATATAAAAATAAGGGAAGCCAGTGATTTTATTTATGCCTTTAGTTAAAAAAAAAAAAAAAAAAAAAAAAAACAGCAAAGGAACCTTTAGTAGAACTGAATTCTGTATTTCACGAAGTCCTTTTAACTAGATAAGAAAATTTCTTGCTGTCATTTAATGCCCTTCTTTCCAATGGTGGTTGCCCCATCATTCTGAAAGGAGAACAACAGTAGAAAAAAAAATGTTGTAGTCAATGTTAACTGTATATTTACAGCACGAATTCAGTAAAATGAAAAACCAGTACAAATGGTGAGCATTTGATTTGTTGTATGTATCCCAACTTCCTGGAGGGGGAAGTATGAAGCTGAAAAACAAACCAGTTTTGTTTGTACAAAATGATATCAAAATCAGTGAGATTTTTCTGAATGAAAAATTACACTGACAAATATAGGAAAGTTATTAAAAGAGATGAATTCTCATTTAAGAATATGAAGAATCAGGTTTTAGTTTCCTATAGGAAAAAGTAAGTAATGAGGTGTTTGAATGTTGTTTTGATCACATAGGTCTTTAGAGAAAATGAACATTTGAATAAGGTTAAAGTTTATCTTTTAAAAAACATCTATTTAAATGTTATATATTTTCCATATGTGAAATTTCACTATTATCATATTTATAAGACAGACTTTGAACAGAAGCCTTCTACTAGGGGAACATTACTATTTTTAGTAAAGAAAACTTTACTGAAGAACACAAAATTTGAGATCTTTCAAATTAAGAATGATGAAAATATTCAAATTGGAAACGTGAAGGTTTTTAGGGCATCTACATAACTGACCTCATCTTTACTCTCTATTCTTACCTCCCATAGGGTTCAGTGCCTAGTCCAAGTGACTTGTGTTTTCCCATCTCCCTCCTCTATGGTTCTCTTCCCCTAGCACTCTCATGTGAAATCCTCTTGATTTTTAAGATCTGATCAGGTGTTGTCTTTTCTATAATATTCTGATTCCCTGTTAGATGGGAGTGTTCATTTATTGAACTTCTTTTGCAATAATATTCTGTATTATGGTTTTTTTTTTTAAACAAGTCTATGTATCAAAGAATATCAGTGGTATCTTTTCTGGATTTTCTGTCTGCTAGAGTCTCTTATACAGGCTAAATGCAATAGGTATTAAATAGTTATTATGTTAATATAGTTTCAGGTTTCTACAAAACAGCCTTTCCTAAAAGTAAATTGTTTTAATTGGTTTGCAGTTTTACATGAATCCTTTCTGCTAATCCTTTAAGATGGGTGGGACATTTGCTTTAGTGATTTCTAAGTAATAACTTCATTTTTGTCTTTCAGTCTTACCTCCAGTGTTAGTGCCTCGTCATAATGAATTCAATCCACAACACAGTCTTCTGGTTCAGTTTAGGAACCTGAGCCACAATGAACCGCATATGCCACAAAATGCCACATTTCCAGATTCTTTCCATCAGCCCAACAACACTCCTTTTCCCTTATCTCCAAATAGTCCCTATCCCCCTTCCCCTGCTAGCAGTACATATCCTAACTCCCCAGCAAGTTCTGGACCAGGAAGTCCATTTCAACTCCCAGGTAAGACTTTATTGAGAGGAAAAAAGAAAAGTAATAATACTAACCCCTGAGAATCAGCATTTGTTCTTACTGCTGATCCTGCTGGTGAACTATGTTATAAAAGAGCTAGTTACTTCTGACTGTATATTCCTCAGATAATTGTTTGATTTCCACAGTAGTTTGGATTTTATTTTGTCAAATACCATGTTTAAAATATGGAAGTAGTAGGGGAATTAAATACCAACTGTTTAACCTGCTGTTAGGAATCTGCTCAAAAACAAACTTTCATACTTTATTTTGCATAGATGTACTACATTTTTTCTCTTCACCAGTTAATAGTGCTGATTCAGTGCTGGTTTTAACTCTTTCTTAAGATATATCTCTGAGTATATTATTCTGTGCAAAGAAAGGCAGTTTTTGACCTTTAATTCTATTTTAATATCTTGGATTACCAGATTCTGTTGTACATACATGTGGGCTTGTAATAGGTTTTCAATTACTAGTAGATGTGCTGTCTAATGTCTGCATTTTTGTGCATCTAATGTTCAGTAATGAACCCTACTGGTAATCTTGAAATTTTTTTTAATGCTGTAAAGTAATAACTTTAAGCAGGATGACGATTTTAACCGTTCTTTGGGATTTTAACTTGTCTCATTTTCTTCCTCTTAGCTGATACACCTCCTCCTGCCTATATGCCACCTGATGAACAGATGGGCCAAGATAATTCCCAGCCTATGGATACAAGCAATAATATGATTCCTCAGATTATGCCCAGTATATCCAGCAGAGGTAAGAGAAGTATATTTTATCTTTTATCAGAAAATGATGTTCAACCATGTTGATTTTATTGTAGCTGTGTTTTTTCTTTTTTTAATTTTTGTTTTAGTTGTCAGTGGATCTTTTATTTATTATTATTTATACCTGGTGCTGAGGATCGAACCCAGGGCCTCACACATGCCAGGCAAGTGCTCTACCACTGAGCTACAAATCCAGCCCCTGTAGCTGTTTTTATTTTATTTATTTGCAGTGTCAGAGGCCCAGTGTAGGGCCTACCACATGCTAGGGGAGCACTCATCCACTGATCTACACCCCCAGTCTTGGCCACTTTAAAAAAACAGGAACATGTATATTTTATATACTATAAGTTCACCTTAAGTATATGATTGAATGATTTTGGAAAACATATAAATTTTGTACCACAATATAGTTTGAGAGCATTTGAAGAGATCCTCACTCATATGAACAGCTCTACATACCATTCCAATCTGTTTTTTGTATGTATAGATTTATCTTTTCTAAGCATTTCATATAAATGGTCATGTAATATATAGTCTTTCATCTGGCTTCTTTCACGTAACATAGTATTGTCAAGATACATTCATGTTGTAACATAATAATAGTTTGTTCCTTTTTAATGGCTGAGCAGTGGGGTTTTTTTTTGTATAGATATACCACATTTTATCTATTCACTAGTCAGTAGGCATTTGAACTGTTTCTAGTTTTTGTTTTGTTTAGTATGAGTAATACTCTTAGAAACTTTTGTATAAAAGTCTTTGTGTGGACATGGTTTTTATGTTTCTTGGGAAGATACCCAGGAGTAGAATCGCTGTGTCATATAGTAAGTTTAACCATTGAAGGAAAACTGCCAACCTTTTCCAGTGTAGCTGTATCATTTTACACCTGCAGTGTATGAGGGTATCAGTTTTTCGTAATCTGTTAACACTTACTATTACATCTGTCTTTTTTGATTATAGTCCCATTTTAGTGAGTATGAAGTGCACATTGTGGTTTTAATTTTTATACTCCTAATGAGTAATGATGTTGAGCATTTAAAAAATTTTTCTTTGATGAAATGTTTATTTTAAATTTTTTGCCCATTGGGTTGTTTATCTTTTTATTGAGTTGTACAAGTTCTTTATATATTCTGGATTTGAATCCTTTATCAGAAAGTGATTTACAAATATTTTATCTCAGTAGATTTCATTTTCTTAATAATGTTTTCTGAAGCACAGTAGCTTTAAATTTTGATGAAGTCCAGTTTATCAATTTTTTCTGGATCGTGTTTTTTGGTATTGTATCTAAGAAATTTTTATCTGTTCCAGGGTTGCAAAAAATATTCTTTTGTGTTTATTCTATGTGTTCTATAGTTTTAGCTCTTATATTTAGGTCTCTGATTCATTTGAGTTATGTTTGTGTATGCCATATGGTAAATATCTATATTTTTTGTTCTCCATTGCACTGACATCTTTATTAGAAATCACTTTATAATAAAAATATAATAAAAATTTACAAATATAAGGGTTTGTTTAGGGCCTTTCAGTTTTGTTCATTGATTGTGTATCTGTACCTCTTTGTCTTGATTACTAAAGCTTGATATTGAGGGTTTTTCCACATAATTTTTTTTTTATTGCAGTAAAATACACATAAAATTTATCATCTTAACCATTTTAAAGTCATATAGTTTGTTGCCATTAATTACATTTATAATGTGCAGTGGTTACTATCTTACATCTCTGTTACTGTTTTCACCTTATAAAACCAAACAAAATTCTGTGCCAATTAAACAATAACTCTACATATCTTCCTTCCCTAGCTCCTGGCAATCACCATTCTATTTTCTTCCTTCTTTCTTCTCTTTTTCTCTCCCTCCCTTGAACCCAGGACCTCACTCAAGTACTCTATCACCCAGCCCCACCATTCTACGTTTTGTCTATTTGTCTTTTTATGACTGACTTATTTTACTTAGCATAATATCCTCAGCTTCATTTGTTGTGGTAAGATGAGTAATATTTCACTGTATGTGCACACCACATTTTGTTTATCCAGTCATGCACTGATGAACACTTGGGTTACTTCTAGGTTTTGGCTGTTAAAGATAACTCTTTGAAACTCTCCTTTCAATTCTGCTATTGTGGGGTATCATAGGTTCTGTACATTTCAATTAGGTGAAGTTGGTTGATAGTATTGTTCAAGTTTTCTATATCCTTATTTCCTTTCTAATTATTCAATCATTTATTGAGAATGGGGGATTGAAGTTCCCAACTATTGTTGAATTGTATATTTCTACATTCAGTTCTGTTGAGATTAGCCTTACGTGTTTTGGGATTCTGTGGTTTGTATAATTCAGCATACAATTCAGTGGTGTTAAGTACATCCACAGTGTTGCTACCACTGTCACTGTCTATTTCCAGAACCTTCTCATTATGCCAAGCAGAACTCTGTACCTATTATAAAGCTCCCTATTCTCTCTTCTCTGGCCTCTGATCAATACTCTTTTACTTTTTGTCTCTGTAATGCCTACTTGAGGTATTTAAGTGGAATGATGTGTTTAGGAACTTTATGTCTAGCTTATTTCACTTAGTATGGATGGCATTTTCAAGATTTATCCATGTCATAGCATGCATTAGAAATTCATTCCTGCTGGGTGCGGTGGCGCACGCCTGTGATCACAGCGGCTTGGGAGGCTGAGGCAGGAGGATTGCTAGTTCAAAGCCAGCCTCAGCAACTTAACCAGGCTCTAGCAACTTAGCAAGACCTGGTCTCTAAATAAAATATAGAAAGGGTGGGGGATATGGCTCAGTGATTGAGTGTGCCTGGGTTTTAATCCCCAGTGCCAAAAAAAAAAAAAAAGAAAAAGAAAAAGAAAGAAGAAAGAGAGAAAGAGGGAGGGAGGGAGGAATTCCTTCTTAAGGCCAAATTATACTCCATTGTATGTGTGTATACTTTTTGTTTCTCTTTTATCTATTAATGGTTGTTTGGAGTTTTTCTACTTTTTTGGTTGTTGTGAATCATGCTGTTATGTTTGAGTGTCTGCTTATAATCCACTTGAATATTGTATTCTTGAAAATAGAATTGCTGTGTCATATGCTAATTATGTTTAACTTTTCAAAACCACCAAACTGTTTTGTACAGTAGCTACATCATTTGACATTCCTACCATCTGTACATAAAGGTTCCACTTTTTCCATGTACATGCTAATGCTTGTTTTCTATGTTTTTCTTTTTTTAATAATTACCATCCAATGGATATGAAGTGATTCTCATTGTGGGTTTTTTAATTGTCTCCTTTTTAAATTGACAATGAAAAATGGTATATTTTTATGGTGTCATTGTGGTTTTAAAGCCGCTTTGTTTTGAGACTTTAAGTTCTGTATAGTATCCCAAGTTTCGAAATAAGATATTGCTTTTTAACGTATTTCTTAAGTGTTTTGTGTTTTACACATTTGTGATAATAAAGCCTATCTACAGAAAACCCACAGCTAACATCATACTTAATGGTGAGAAACTGGAAGATTTCCTGCTAACATTAGTAACAAGGCAAGGATGACTCTTCTCATGCTTTTATTTCCAGTTTGCAGAGAGAATCACTTAAGTGTTTGAATTCAATTTTTTGTTTAGAATAGTATTACAGATAGTGATATAGTTAATCCTTTCCAGTTGTTAAAAAATTACATTTATCTCAAATTTAAGTCTGAAGTAGATTCCCCTAGAGAAATAATTTAAGATATGATATTGCTACTATGTTCTGAATTGTGTCCTCCCAAAATTCCTATATTGAAACCCTAACCCCAAATGTGGTGGTATTTGGAAATGAGTCTTTGGGAGGTAATTAGATTTAGCTGAGATCATGAGGGTGGGGTCCTCATTGTGGTATTAGTAAATTTATAAGAGGAAGAGATAGATCCCTTTCTGTCTATATCTTTCTCTACCCTTGAACACAAACCAAGGAAAGGCCATGTGAGCACACAGCAAGAAGGTGGCTGTCTACAAGCCAGGAAGCGGGCCCCTCACCAAACCCTGAATCTACTGGCACCTTGATCTTGGACTTCCCAGCCTCCAGAACTGTGAGAAATAAATTTCTATTATTTAAGCCACTCCATCTATGGTATTTGGTTATAGCAGCCTGAACCAACTGAGATAGGAACTGGTACCTAGAAATGGGTGCTGCTATAACAAATACCTAAAAATATGGAAGTAGCTTTGGAATTAGATAATGTAGAGGCTGGAAAAGTTTTGAGATACATGCTAGAACAATCTGATGTTGCTGTGAAGGGACTATTAAAGGTGATTCTGGTGAGGGCTAAGAAGTAAAAGAGAGCTTTAAATAAACCTTCCATTTTCTTAGAGAATACATAAATCATGTATAGAATGTTAGTACAGATATAGATGTTATACCAGGCTGATTCTTGTGAGGGTATAGACCTAAAAGAGGAATGTATTATTAAAAAACAGAAAAAAGGCCATCCGTATTGTAAAGTGGCAAAGAATTTGGCTGAATGGTGTTAATGTTCTAGTGTATTATAGAAGGTAGAACTTTTGAGTTACAAAATTGGATATTTAGCTGAGGAAATTCATAAGTGTTGAAGGAGTATCCTAGTTCCTACTGGCTTCTCAAGAAAAAAATGAATTTGAGAAGGAATTGTTAAGCAACAAGGAATCAGAACTTAAATGATTTGGAAAATTCTCATCCTATCCACATTTCAAAAAATTACTCAGTTTTGCTCACCTGCCATTTGATAATGAGATTAGTGTGGGTATGAACCATGGACCTAAACAGCCACTTCAGCAGGAGCACAGTTTGACCTGAAGAGAACAGAGATGGGCTGGAGTTTAGTAAGGCTATCAAGTTCCTTAAATTCTCTGGCAGACCAGATAAGCTATTTGACTGTAAACTTTTATAATTCTTCAAAAAAGAAGAATTCCTCTGAAGCTGATTCAGAAATCATCAGGATGACTGGTCTGGTTTCAGCAGGCTGAATGACGTCATGAGGGTACCTGGAGACTAGAGGGTGCAACTCCCTACAACACAGAACTTGGTGTAGTTTCACATGTTACAGTTGAAGGGGAATTCTGCTGTGGGATTTTGTCTCCTGTCTCACCTTTTTCTGATTTTCATAAGACTAGATTTTAGACTTTATAGTTTTTGCTGGAATAAAGTTAGGAGTTTGAGTCCTTTGAGATGTAATGTGTGTATTTTTGCATGCTAACAGACCAAATTGTACCCTAACCCCCAATGTCATGGTGTTTGGAGATGGGGCCTTTGAGATATAATTTAGGTTTAGATGAGTTCATGAGAGCAGGGTTCTCAGGATGAAATTAGTTACCCTTATAAGAAGAGAAACAGAAGTGAATCTTTGGATCTTTATGAGCACACACTGAGGAAAGGCCATATGAGCACCCAGCCAGAGGGCAGCTATCTACAAGCCAGGAAGGGAGCCCTTTCTAGATATCAGACCAGCTGACACCTTGATGTACTTTCCAGCTTCCAGAACTGTGAAGGGGAAAATTAATCCACTCAGAATATGATATTTTGTTAAGGGAGTCTGAGCAGGTTAAGTAAGATAGTTGCCTATCTTTGTTTTCCTAAAATTGCTTAAATTGTCATATTTAAGTCTATTTCTAATATTTTTGGATATAAGTTCAAACCAGGAAGGACAGTGATACTTAAGTGAAATGTCTTTGTTTTCTTTCTCATGTAGCTCTTTGAGTTGGGTTGAAGATTAAACACATAGTGAATCTGGAGTTTTGGATAATCACTTATTAAACTTCTTTTCTGTCTGATTTGTTCACAGATGTTCAGCCTGTTGCCTATGAAGAACCCAAACATTGGTGTTCAATTGTTTACTACGAATTAAACAACCGCGTTGGGGAAGCTTTTCATGCATCTTCTACTAGTGTGTTAGTAGATGGATTCACAGACCCTTCAAATAACAAAAGTAGATTCTGCTTGGGGTTGTTGTCAAATGTTAATCGTAATTCAACAATTGAAAATACTAGGCGTCATATTGGAAAAGGTAATCATACATTCATTTGAATTCAGCCCTTTTTTGTATTGGCCATGTGCCACAGTTTGTGTAAGGAAGGTGCTGTAAACTTAAAAAGAATCTAAAGGCCTCTGCCTCATGTTGCGTATACTAAAGAATGTATTAATCAAATAAAGATATCATGAGTCCCCAATTCCTTATCTTGTTTAGTTTTTCTGCTTAAGTACTAGAGACCTGAAATCATTATTTCTTTGTTTTTTGAGTTACCCTGACTGGAATATAAACTGCACAGAAATTTATCATGTTTATAACAGTAGCTAGGACAGTGCTTGGCTCATGAAATATACAACAAATGTATTTGTGGAACACATGACTGCTAGTGAAGAATGAGGATTTCATAATTACGGTATTTGTGGAGCATCTTCAATTGAGATATAATGTGTAAGAATTACCATGATGTTGGGGGAGTAGAGTTTAGAGGTGGAGAATCCCAAGTGTGAATGACGAAGTTCGTTGGTGGCTTTATTATCACCCCTCATCTTTTAAATTCAGGAAGGTTTTTTGTATAATTCATCCTGAAATATAGCTGCCACAACAACTATATCACACTGCAATGAGATGCCAGAGTCTCATGCATGCATCAAATGGTCAGGAAGGAAATCCATCCCAGGTAGAATGTATTGCATATTTCTAAGAAGTTTTGTTTTCACCTCTTGCTGCCTTTTGCTTTAACTTAGGAGGGTCTTACTACAAGTGAAAACAAAGGCAAATAAATATAATTATGATGGCATTTTTTTATAGAAGAGGTTTTTTAAAATATTATGGTCAAAGATAGGTTGAATACAAAGTTGCCATTCTCTTTTAGAGTTCATTGCCTACTTGCCATGATGGTGTGTTTTGTTTGTTTGTTTTTGGTAAAATGTCTTCCTTGTATGCATAGATTTCCCACCCCATCCCAGTAAAAATAATTTTAAGTGAAATCTATTTGGTAAATTTTGAATTTCTAAAATTAGTTGTCTTTTTTTTCAGCATACTATTCTAGGATACTTTTGTTCATGGGTCATTTTTATTTACTCAGAAACAAAGCTGAATTTTTATTATTATAGGCTGATATAATTTTATGACTTACTTGTGTGCAGAGAGATATGTGTATTCAGGGATGGTGCCACAAAGCACTGTGGTAGTGAAAAGTTGTCCATCAGTAGTTAGTAGATTCACCTAGAATTATAAGTGGCATTTAGAGGATATATACAGTAGCAAATTTATATTTTGAAGCGTAATAGAATCCTCAAGATTGCTTAAAGTGAAATAGCAAGTTTTTGATTAATAGAATGTGGTACATTCACATTAAAAAACAAAGCAGAACACCCAACCTTCCACACAAACACACACACAAAAATTACATAGGAACATTTATATAAAATTAAATGCATTTAAAAAGGTTCAAAAGGATATCCACCATTTTGATATTAGTTTCTACCTTTAATGAAGAGAAATTTGAGGTGATAGATATGTTGGAAAAATACCAGCTTTAGTTACACAATTTAAATTTTTGTATTGAAACTTTTCATGCATTATTTTTATGCATACACACACACACACACACACACACACACTACACATATATTTTAAATATATTAAAAGTAATTTGAAATTACCAAAGTAAAATGTCTGCAATTTAAAAACTTGCGGTAACCTGAAAGTACATATGCACCTTTGGGGGTTTTGTTTGTATTTTTGTTTAATACTGTTGTCCTCATTTTCTTAACCATCTCTTTCTCTCATAGAGATAATAGAAGATTTGGAAAAGGAAAACAACTTAAAAAGTAGATAACCTAATCAGCTGTCAGCTTCAGGCTTAACTTAGTTATTTGAGGACCATGTTAGACTTAGGCAGACATTAACCTCTTCATTATCTTTGGCAGCAGAAGGCCATCTAGTGGTTGCTTTTATCTGAAGACAGTAGAGAGTTTGCTATGAACATCTCCGTATTTTGGTTATACCATATAATCTCTTTTGCTTTGTTAAACTGACTCATGCTACTCATCTTTTTAAGGTGTTCATCTGTACTATGTTGGCGGGGAGGTGTATGCGGAGTGTCTCAGTGACAGCAGCATATTTGTACAGAGTAGGAACTGCAACTTTCATCATGGTTTTCATCCCACCACTGTCTGTAAGATTCCCAGCAGCTGCAGCCTCAAAATTTTTAATAATCAGGAATTTGCTCAGCTTCTGGCTCAGTCTGTCAATCATGGGTTTGAGGCAGTCTATGAGCTCACAAAAATGTGCACCATTCGAATGAGTTTTGTTAAGGTAAGTGTGTGTGATCTGTATTGAAAATATGTATGGGTCACTGTAAATATGTATGTCTATAGGTTGTAATAGAAAAATTGTTAAAGGTGGGCATTACTTTCAACTGGATTTACTAGGTTCTTAGATGAAATCCTTGAATTTATGATTGTAAACATATGGTAAGTCTAAGATAATTTATAATCCAGACATAAAATGCATGATTGATATTGATTTTGATATTGAACAGGGGTTGAGCTTACAAAGAATGTCAGTTAAATGATTAAAGTATTGGAAAACATTTACTATTAAAATTGCTTATTGAGTCCCTCAGCATCAATAGTTTTGATTATTATTAGATTCTGTTAGACTGACTTGACAATTATTTGGAGTTCTAAAATTATTTTCCTTGAACTGAGCTTTGTTATTAAGAATTTGCAAAGTTCAAGTTCATCATTTACCCTCTTGGCCTGATTTTATTGAATATTCCGAAGATGGTTCTTGAACAAAATTTGAAAAGAATTTGTGATGTATTTAAGAAACCTATACTATATTTAGCCCAAGAACAACAACTGTCACATGCCATGTGTGAATTTTTTCTTTTTGGCATTCACTCCCTATCTAGTGTTTCTTTCCTTCCTTCCTTCCATTCTTCTATCCATCCATCCATTCATCCAGTGTTTTCTTGATGCTTTACTGTAGATCTGATGTGTACATTTAATTATCAATCACCCTAAAGTTATTTCCCCTCCCTCTATACAAATGAGACTTTTGCATATTTAGTTTATCTGCATTCCCCATTTTCTCCATTCTTTTTCCTCTTTCCTCCCATAATTTTCCTGGACCAGGACTAGAATAAGCACTAACATAGAGAGCTTGATAAATCCAGATGGAAGAAAAGTGAAAAATTTCCTTTTTGTTTTTGTTTGTAGTTTTAAGCTAGCGTTTTAGTTCATTTCATCTCATTAATTTCCCAGCTTTAAGGATAATGGCTATGTAATCACTACATTAAATTATTTATAAATGTGTTTATCAGTATCTACAGTGCCTTATGTGACAGGAAAAAAAATAAAAACAAAGCAAAATTTAAAAAATATCAAAAAACAAGTCAGACACAGTGGCACATGCTTGTAAATCCCAGTGACTGAGGAGGATTGAAATTTCCAGGACAGCCTCCGCAACTTAGCGAGGCCCTGTCTTGACAAATAAAGAGGACTGTGATAGAGCACTCTGGGTTCAATCCCTAGTAACAAAAACAAAACCTGAAAACAAAGTTTTTTGGTCATATAATCTGACATGAAGTTACGTGAGGCTATTTATGGGTTTTATTTATCCTAATAAGTGAGAATATATCTCATAGTAGAAATAAATAATATTTTAATTATGAGATATTGTACTGTATAATGTTTCTAAAATTTAAAAAAATGCTAAAACACCTGGTGCCATGCGTTTCTATTAGGAGAAGTATATGTTGTTTAAAAATTCATATATCTCTGAACATTGTAAATCTTTTCTTATAATTCCATGGTGAATATCAAGATTGCTTTTGTGATAGTTATTTAAGTATTCTGTATATCTTTACTGTTAAACTATCTGTTTGTTATTATAATTGCTTTAGACTGTTGACAGCTTAAAGAGAGATTGACTATGATATCTGTTCATTTTCATAGGGCTGGGGAGCAGAATATCACCGACAGGATGTTACCAGCACCCCATGTTGGATTGAGATTCATCTCCATGGGCCTCTTCAGTGGCTGGATAAAGTCCTTACTCAGATGGGATCTCCTTTAAATCCCATATCTTCCGTTTCATAGTGGAGAAATATTCTTTTTTCAATTGTTACTAGTGGACTTATTTTAATTTTAGAGAAACTTCCAGTACAAATACTGTGAGCTGACATGGAAAAACAGATTTTATAGCTTTTTTTTTTTCTACATAATTGTGACCAACACATTTGTATTTTGTGATGAATCTGCATTTGTTTGTATTCATGTTCATGTGATTAACTCTCAAAGGTATTGTAAAAGATGTGGACTAAGTATTATGCCCCTGTTCAGAATTTTGGTGTTAGAGTCTGTAAACAAGTCAAAATAACACCTGGCATTTAGCCAGGGGAATGTTAGAGTTCCTAAACAAGTCTGGATGGTGCCTGGCAAAATGCCAGAGGGAGTGGTTTGAGAAGTAACAAAAGCAAGCCATTAAGTGTGGAGATTCCTGATTGGTTGACTGCTGTATCTAGTTTATGCTAATTAGATAAGCTGTGTGGAATGTATAAATACTGCTCCTGTCCTGCAATAAACGGCTCCTACTCCTGCTGTATCAACGTACACAAGTTATTTGTCACCCCCCGGGTTATTTTGCCCAGCCAGCCGGGCACCATCCAGACTTGTTTACGAACTCTAACATTCCCCTGGCTAAATGCCAGGTGTTATTTTGACTTGTTTACAGACTCTAACAGATTTTAAACTGGAACATGCTTTAGTTTATCATCCCAACAGGTTTTTTATTTGTTAATTTTTTTAAAGTATGCATCACATGATGAAAAACTATAGTATAAGAGGTTATAAATAGGGAAAAATAGTCTTCCTTCTGTTGATTTTCCAGAAACTACACTTCTAACAATTTCTTTGTCCCACCAACTTTAAAAAAGCTTAACACATAGTTTTTAAAAGCCTATGGTAGGGGCTTAAAAGAAACTCTAAAATAATCTTTTTATTTGATGGAACACTATGCACTGCTCTAACAAGTAGTGTTCAGTAAAAGTGAAGTGAATTTTCTAGATGACATAAAATTTACATTTATATAGCTAAATGTTTGTCAGTGTAATGTGACTTCATGCTCAATATCTTTTGAAAAACATTTCCTTTTTTTAAAAAAAAATTGCCAAGTAATTGATCTCTAGTATATGTCATTTACTCAAAATCTTGTCATAAATACTACTTTTTAGCTAGTGACAGTGCATGCACGGCCTTGTTCAGCTATGTTTGCTGCTTTTGGCCCTGTTGCAAGGATTGTAATTTTGACATGCATTAATCTTTTATTTTGCACTTTTATGGGTGACAGTTTTTAGTGTAACCTTTGGTAAAACACTCAAGTGACTTGGACTTAGATGCTTATCCTCAATTCCTTGTTACCCCTTTTGTATTAACAAACTACAATTTATAGTTTACAGTTTTAGGAAGTTATGCCTTTTTCTAGTATTTTATTTTCAATCTAGGTTATAAGATTGTTCTTCTAGAGCTCCAACTAAGGTGCCTTTTTAATTTCTACAGTCTTGTGGGTCTTATTAATGTTGGAAAATCACGTACTTAATGTCATTGTTCTCACTTGTATTGGTCTCCCCATGCAAGGACCTATGCGCCTGTAGCCATAGGAGGCTCTTTGATTGGGCCTCAAGGGTGAGGCTACTGGTCTGATATTAAATGAATCTGCAGTAGGTGTTGGGATAGCTGATTTCAAAACATTCACGTGTCAAAGACTGTTCTCTCACTTATCATCAATGCTCTTTTTCTATTTTTTTAGTATCTACATGGATGCTAATCTCCCAGAACACAGTCTTCTAAAGGAAAGATGATTAAATATCCATTTAATCAATCATGTTTTGGCTTTGAGTAGAGTACTATTAACCACATTTTCTAGGGAATAGTCAGATGGACATTTAGTTACGGCACAAGAAAGCAGAAATTATTTTGAAAAGAAAAATGACCTAATGTACCTAATCAGAAAAAGAAGCTTTGTTTTCTAGTGCCTTTGTAAGTATCTGGAGCCATGCCATTCAGCTGTTAAAAATGTTATTTTTGGTTTGACTTTCTGCTTTGCCCTTTCTGCTTTTATGAGGGGAAAAAAAAAAACACAAAAAATATTTTTTTAGGAAAGCATTTTGCTATTCCTTTTGCTTTCTGTGTCATTATTTATTGCTTTTTCAAAGTGCAGCCATTGGATGATTTTAGTGTCTTCAGGTGAAGTGTCATTTGTGTTTCAGCTCAGAATTCTTTGTTGGGTAAAAAGAATAATTTCAGACAGTCACCTGAGCCTTCAACGTAAGTATTATGTAACATGTATTCTAAGTTGTATGAGCCACATGAAAGAGAATTATGTGTTTAGTGATAGAACTTAGGTATTTTTATCATTCTTTTACTTAACAAGCTCATGGCACAAATTTATGAAAAAGAATTCACTCAAGTTGAATGACAAATACATATAATCAACTTTAGTGATTATTTTAGTCATCAAATTGTTTTATAGATGTTTTTAGCTGCAAGTTAAAAATTGTTTTGTTTGCAGACACCCTGTTCCAGCTTTTAGATATTGATCAGGTATTATGTGATTGGCTTTTTTTTTTTTTTTTTTTAAGAAGTATTATCTTGTGAATGACAGTACTGAAGCTGTTAACTGTTAAGAATTTCATGAAGTAGAAACCTGTTATATTTCCTAAAGATTGTCAATTTTCCACCTGTGGCCTTTAAACGAAAATTTTATTCAGTTCCGCTATTCTTATAAACCCTAAGGATATATGTATATGATAAAAATTATTAATAAGATGAAAACAGAAAAAGCAAAGTAAAATTCTGGCTAACAATAAGAAAGTATCTCTGAAAGAAACTATTTCAAAAAGTACAATATTAAGATTTTATTTAATATTAGACTGGTTTATAGTCAAATTTGCAAGAATATCAGCACCACTACAATAATCACTTTTTATAGCAGATAGACTATATTAATACATGCCAGTTAAAAGACAGAATCTGGGAATACTGAAATTGCAGCCAGTTTGGTAAATGCAAAAAGCAGAACAGAATCAAATTAATCTCATAATGAATTAAAGTAACAAGATCTTGATTGCCAAAAAAGCAGGTTATAAGAAGTGCATTTGACTAACATCTTATTGATTTCATGGCTAATATATGGAATATAAACTAGTAGGCATGTTACTGATCTACTGAATTTGATACTTTTCTCTAGAGAAAATTTAAGGAAGACATCAAAAATGTCAAATACAGGGGCTGGGAGCATAGCTCAATGGAAGAGAGCTTTCCTAGTGTACTTGAGACTCTGGGTTCAATCCCTGCAGCATCACCAAAAAAAAAAAAAAAAAAAACACACAAAAAACGATATCTTCATTAGAATATAAATATAAATATATATATATATATATATATATATAATTTTTTTTTTTTTTTACATTTCACGGTTGCTGTATAACCCAGCAGTTGAACTGGCTGTGTTGCTGAGGTGAAACCCAGAATAAGATTCAGTTCAACAAGCTACACCTAGTATTACAAATTTATGCTTTTCATAACTTTTGAGAGTAAGACGTCCTTTAGGGGATGTAAAACAATTACTAAGTATTCAAATCTGAAGGCTATTGTCAAGATAAGAACTAGGGTTCACCTTATAAAACCTTCCCTGTTATTACCTGAGGGTACCTGTGAGAAACCGTTCCTTCCCTTGTAATAGTGTCCTTTGGGAGGAAAAGGTTTACAAAAAAACAGAATCCTACTGATAGCAGAGAAACCCTAAAAAGTTTGGTAGTATGTATTAAAGTGCTGCACTTGTGTTATAGAGAACATCTCATACTCCAGTCCAGGTCCATTTTTTAATACTTTTTCTAGTTATTTGCTTAATGGTACTTTGAGTTACTGTCACCTTTCTCATTTAAAATATATTATACTTTTTACTTCCTGAAGAAGGAAGAATCCTTTGATAATTATTGAATTCAGCCTTCATTGATGAGTTGCATTTTTGGACCTATTTTAAGAACTCTTGATGTCTGGAGTCAGAATATAAGTGTTCATTCTGATTTTTTTCATCAGCAAGATAAGCAAGTATCTTTTAAGGTGAGATAGTGTGGTGGTTTTAGAGTTGTTTAATGGTTTTTATGGGAGTGAGTTTTCCTAAGTGGTTTTCTCAGATATTAACTAAGACAGCTTTTTGGAGGGTAATTTTCCTTTTGCTGCCTGTTCTCCCCAACAGCATTATTTGAACAACATTATTTTCTTCATTGATAGAGGTGAGATTCTTGAATGTACTTGCAAGGCATTTTTTTTTTTCTCCCCTGCATAAACAAATCTTGCTGGAGAGAAATTTGGATAGTTCTTTAGAATTCAGTGGATTGCAGTTTAGTGTGTCCTGATTACAGGAGGTAACAGTATTATAAAGCCTTTGTTAAACTAGATTATTCATAAAAGAAGTTTGCCTTCCTGGCTGTGGATGGTGGTCAGTGGTAGACATTTGCTAGCATGTGGGAGACCCTGGATTAGATCTACCCATGGGTGGGTGGGAAGAAAAATAAGATGAAACTCATCTCCAAAACAAAATACAACTGCATTATAATTGAAGTGACACTCTAAAATTAGGTGGTATACCCAAACCAATAAACAAGATTTCATATATTCTGGTTTTGTTTATTGTTATTTTGTAAGAGTACATGCTGTAATATTGTTGGTAGCATTTGTTGTAAAATAAGTAATGAGTTATTTTGTTGAAAAGAGCAGGATCTTTGATTGTGGCAGAGTGAAAAGGATTTTATGGTTCTTGTCCACATAACTCAGTTCTTAAAATTTCTAAAATAATCATGAGCCATTATCATTTAAGGATTTATTTGAAGTTGCTGTGATTTTTAAAAGTTCAGAATTTTGTATAAATAAATCCCCACCCCTATTAGTAGATAGTGCCTGTCTTAAAACTAACTGGTGTTAGCTATAAGAGAACTCCAGTTAGGCCAAAGAATCCCAAGTGTTTTGTAAAAGAAAATCTTATAGGGTCAGATTTTCCTGTATAATACTATTGGAAATGATGTTGCTTTGATTTTACTGAGGAACTCTTGAGGATGATGGTTGGGCTAGAGATATTCTTTTTAACCTGGTTGTTTAAAGTTGCAATTTAAAATTCACTTATTTTAAATTTGGTGAAGATCATTGAAACTGAATGTATGTACTTACCTACACTCTCTTTAAAAAGATCTTTCATATGAAAATGATAAAGACCAAACCAATGGCTGCACTGTAGGACTGTTTCTTATTTGTTCTTGTTCTGCTTCTGTTCATGTTATAGAAAATGAAATTATAGCATGATGCTTCAATTCTGCTATCCTTTTGATACTTATAAAAATGTATTAGGTTTTACTATACTGTGCTTTTCAAAGCCATAACTCTTAAATTTGTTTTTGCATATTGTTTGCTAATACTTTATTTTAATAAACCTATTTTAATAAACCTCAAAATCTGCTTAATGTGTCTTTTTTTCTTTTTGGTAATTTTTTCTGATTTATGTTTCATTGAATGGAGTTATAGAAGAGGGGTGGGATTATCAGTTGTTAACAACCTGCTGAATTATCTGTGTGCTAGTGATAGAAAATATGATATACCATGCCTTTTCACTAAGCATGAGGGTTGCTCAGTATAATTGATTGTTTTTCTTTCTCTTTGTAAGGGAGTTGATGTGTTTTTCTTTGTTATGTTTTGATAGAGGATTTGAACCTAGACTCTGGGTTTTTTTTAGTTTAATCACTAAATTTTCCTTCTCTAGATGTCATTGTAAATGAGGGGGCTTGGCTGGGTGATTGAGAGGCAGAATAGGAAGACAGCTTTTACAGAGCTGACTCTAGAATCTGCATTTGAGTCCTGGGCTGCATACTTCTGTGCCCTTTTGCAGGTTGCTTAACGACTCTGCCTCAGTTTTCCTCATCTGTAAAATAAAAGTTCACTTTATAGAAAAATGAAGTAATAACAAAAAAAGTACTTAGAACAACCTGGCATAAAAGAATTCATTTAAAAATTAATATCTTTTACATTTCTGTTATTTCTTTGATTTAGAGTAATTATTTCTGAGGCTGCTTGTCCTTGGTAGATCAACACTTGATTTTCTACTTTGTGAATTAGCTGTGCTTTTAGTTTCTGATTATCCTGTTTTGAAAAAAATGTAAATCATAGACTAGCTTTTTTATCTCCCTCTCTATGATGCATACTTTTATCACCCTCTGGATTACATACACAACAGGTACAAACTCATTCCAAGTGGCTGGGGGCAGGGAGTGGCATGCACCCTGACTAGAAAAGTAGAGAAAGCTAAACTAAACATTTTGACTCAAAAGAATAAATATGAAAGCTCTTATTCTTTTCTTTAGAGAAAAGACTTCGTTACAAGAATCAATTACTGCAAATCAGTTCATTCTGTCATTTTCTTTGAAAGGCATTTAGTGAGGTACTTGGTAGCAACTTCATTGGCTATTTTAGAGGCATTCCTTAAAAAACAACAACAAAAATCACTTCCTGGCAAAAGATTTCAGATTTAAGATAATTAATTTTCAAATTGCTGAAGCCCAAACATTCAGATGATGAGTTCAGATGGTGAGACTCAATGACTAGTACTATTCCCTATTAAAATCCAGAATGCAGTTTTGGTGCACTTCTCTATTTTATAAACATTTATAAGAAGTCTGTCAGACTGGACAATGCCTATAAGAAAGTAATTATTTAGAAGTTTATCATAGTCTGTATGTGGTTAGAAGGAGGAAGTATTTTTTTAAAACCTTCCCACAATTAACATTATAAAATATTACTGTGACTTTTGTTGTCAGATTTATAATTCTTCAATAAACTTTTAAAAAAAAATTTTTTTTAGCCTCAGTCATTTTTATTGCCATATTTTGAAGCTTAGGGTAGTGGGGCTACTGGGAAATTTTAAAGAAGAGCTTTTGGCCAGCTTGCTTAACCATCTCCATCTCACAGTATGTTAGATGGGAGGTGGGAAAGGGGCGATTTTAATCTGGTGGTTAAGACTCTTAGGATCCATATTGTACCAAGTTATGTGAATATAATTCCTAGTGAGGCAGTTTATTCATGTTTGGGCATGGATTTTTGAAAAGCTCCTTAAACTTTCTTAATCTCTTATCCCTTCTTCATCCAATAAATCTCACCCATTGGCTCATTAAAAAAAATACTTTTATCTGAGATAAATGGTGAGGATTTAACAGTCCAGAAAAGCATAAACTAAAACCTTTCTTCCAATAGCTAACCACTAGACATTTACGCATTTACTTTTGTTTGTTTGTTTCAATACTGGGGATTGAACTAGGGCGCATTTTACCACTGAACTACATCCTAGCCCTTTTTATTTTGAGGTGGGTTCTCACTAAGTATCTGAGAATTCTTGCTAAGTGGCTGAGGCTAACCTTGAACTTGTAGTCTTCTTGCCTCAGCCTCCTGAGTGACTGAGTGACTGGTCACTGGTGTGTGCCATCATGCCTGACTATGAACATTCCTTTCAAACCAGTTCTGGTAGTTAGTTTGCATTTGTTTGTTTGTTTGTTTGTTTTGCATCTGTTTTAATGTTCTTTGACAAATATATAGCCGATCATGGGTGGGGCTATCGCTCCTTAATTTGAAAGGATTCTCAGAGAAATTGGCTTGGTTTCCAAGTCTTTCCTCCTATATAACCAAGAGAACATTCTGCATAGCTTTTCTCACTATTTCACACAAAATATATCTCTTTACCCTTTTGTCACCTCATGAGAACATAAGATCTAAGGACAGACATTTGTCTCTCTGCTAGAGCAGTTCCTGACACGTAATAAGTCAGCACACCAGGACTTGTTGACTGAGCAGAGTGGGTTTTCCTTTTTAATACTAGAATTCATTTTTTTAAATGTAATATGACAACTGCTAGTTGAATTGATTCTGGCTCAGTAATTTATTAGGTCTCATTACCATACCTCATGAGAAAGCTGGAAATTCAACTAAGAAATTATTACACTCTTAAATTCTTTGTCTTTGAACTTTTGGGTCAAGTAATCAAGTTCCTGAATTTTTTGCTCAGATAATGTATAAAATTGCCAGTCGAGTTGGAGCTTTAACCTGTTGACATTTAAAATTTTTCCAGAAAAAGGAGAAAGGACAGTTTCTTCCATGTAGATGACAACAAAAAATAACCCAAATGGTGCACTGTATTTCAGAGCTTACAGAGGTGAGGGTTTTAAGTAACAAACTTGTAGTTTGATTTTGGTGTCCTGGCCTAGGCCCCATAATGTTCTTCCCTGACTATTGTATTCGACAGACAGGTCTTTTGCACTCAGGTGGGCCACTTTTGGGAATGCCTTTGAGAGAGAGAACATATGACAGACCAAATATGTGACTCATATTTTGCACTTGAGAATAAAAGATTATTTTGCCGAAGAGTGTGTGTGGGTGATATAAGGGAAGAAATTTGGGAAGAAGAAAAGCTCTGGGGTCTGGAGGGCTTTGACAGATTTTGCCCCCATCTATAGTTGTGTCAATATTAATTCAAAGCATAATTAATGGTAAACATTCCCTGATGGCCTTTTCTTTTTACATAAACTGTGAAATGTGGTTTTCATTAACCTGGAGTTGTTTAGGCCAAGTTAGTGATGTCAGTGGATATGAAGATGATAAATGCAAGCAGAGATTTACAATATACAAATAGTTCAGAAATGATGTTCATATGAAAAGGCCCTTTATTGTGTGATAAACTGCTAGAAATTTTACAGATCCCTATTCTCCCCTTCTTTAATTGTAGACCACCTACATTCATCTGGAAAACACATTTTTTCAGTCCTTGGGGCTTCGAGTTAGGTTAAGTCATATACCTGAATTCTGGCCACATGTGACTGAATTCTAGCCAATAGGATTAAGCAGAAATGATATGTGCCACTTCTGTTTGGAAAAGGAATGTTCTTTCTCCTTTACAATGGCTGGAAAGCAGATATGACGATGGGAAGTAGAAGTGGATATGGTACCAAGGGATGAAGATTTCAGCGGTTTGCTGCCCCTGGGAGGTTACTGTGAGAAAGGACCCCACAACCCCGCACCACAGTGATATTGTTTCAACTACTTAGACTATGAGCTAGGTGATACTACTTACTCTTCCAGTTACTCTCATCGAACTGTCAAGTGCTTTGTTCAAATCAAGCCTCATGCTAGATGGTAGAGCTGGAGTTGAAGTTCCTGCCTCATTGAAAGCAAAGCTATAACAGAGTATTTAATTCCTGGCTAGATAGGGGTTAATCTGATCAGTTTGGGAGGGTGCCCAAACAGGAGCAGAGAATGAAGGAGACTAACATACAGACTCTGCTCCTGCATTGCAGAGTATCTGGGGGTTTTGTTTTGTTTAACCCTGAACAGTATCAGGTTGTTTATTCATTCAATTAATATTTGAGAGCTGTTAGATGTCAAGTTGAGGATAAATAGGATAAAACAAAAGCAATTTTCCTGATAGTTTTTCATTTTGGTTGATGGATATACCTAACAAGGTAAATAAAATGCATAGTAAATTTACTGGTGAATTCTAAGGAAAAGGAGATGTCAGGGTGAGAGAGGAGAATAATTGCAATTTTAGGCATAGCGCCCAGGGAAGGTCTAATTAGAAGCTAAGGTTTAAGTGCAGAAAAAGGTAAGGTGATATGTGAAGTCGATTAAACAGATTTCTTATTCAAGGCAATTGACAAGCATGTGAATGATATTGCTAAGGTCTGTGCTTTGCAAAGGGAAAAAGAGTATTTCACGCAGAAATAGCTAAAGGTACAAACTTTAAAAAATTGCATGTTCTTTAGTCTCTTCAGGAGATAACAGTAATACCTGAGGTGTTGCATAGATGGAGACAGGAAATGTTACTTGCTGACAACTTTGTGGATTACCGCCCCAGGAATCTGGCTACTTGGAAGACCAATAAGTAAGGAAGAATTCAAGTCAATATTTCATCTGATAAAATTTTTGTTTAAGGTGGAAAATCAAAGGAGATATGTTCAGATGAAGAATATACAGATAAAGCTCTAGCACTGTTTTCCCACCATGTTGCTTTCAACAAATACCAAGTACCTGTTTTGTGGTTAAAACATAGTTTCTCAAAAAACAGTGAAAAGAAGATGTTGTCCCTGACTTCATATAACTTACATATTAGTAGGAAAAAAAGACATTAGGCTTATAATTGCATTGTCATTTATTAGCTATGATTACAGAGATGATTTGGGGCTATTAAAGATTTTAGGAAAGTCCTTTTTGAGGAAGAAAGATTTAAGTAGAGTTCTAAAGGATGAAAAGGCATTAGCCAAAGGAAGGTGAAAGAAAACATCTTAGGCAAGGGAACTTAAGGACCAAGAAGGCCACTGTCACTGTAGCCTGGAGTACAAGAGGGATGTGAGGAGATGTGGGTGGGGCCAGATGATTCTAGGCCTCATAGGCTAAGGTTAGGGTTTTGTTTTTAATCACAAGTACTAGGAAAAACCATTAGAGTGGAGGCTGCTAGAGGCAGATACCATGATCAGATGTGTGTTTGGATTGGAGACGCAAAAGTGAATGTAAGGCTTTGAGGTAGGGTGGTGATGGTGGAGACGGTGTGGATTTGATGGGGTAGAATGGAGTGCAGGTGATGATTGCATATGGGAGGATGCAGAAGAGGTTGGCGTTAAGAATGACAACCATGCTTTTTTTTTTCCTCCTTTGGGTAGTCATATGTTGCAATTTATTGAAATTGAGAAGACTGAAGGAGCATCTAATTAAGAAAGATGAAGAGTTTTAGACTTGTTGAGTCTGAGGTTTCCTGTGAGATAGCCAATAGAGATATTGAGTGGGCTTGTGTAACAAGAGTCATCTGAAAAGCAACTGAAGCCATGAGAATGGATGAGATCCAGAAGAGATCTCCAACTCTGAGCACAGTGGCTGTGCAGTGGCAGACCTCTGTACTGTCTTGTGATAGCACATTCCTGAAAAAGGACTGCAAGTCACTGATGGAAAGCAGTTACTGTTTGTACTGCTGCAAGCACTTCTAAAATGGTCATCTTGGTTAATGATGATTGCTCACATTCAGAGCATTTCTGTATATCAAACATGAGTTAACACTTCACCTACAATGTCTCACTCAGTGTTGAAAATCCTATGAGGCAGTTAGTATTATCTCCATTTTACAGCTGAAGAAACAGGTTAACAGAAATTCAGAAAACATGATGGAGGCCTAGAGTAGATGGTCAAGCTTAGGTCACCGGGTCTCAGGAATCAGCCTTTTGCCTCTCCCTAGTTCCTAGTATCTACAATCACTTTGCTGTTTCAATTTCCAACCTCTCACCCACCCATCACTTATCAAAAATGTCTTCTTCTTAACCTCCTTGCCTGCTTGTAGTAGCTGGTTTTACCAGAGGAGCCCAGATACCTATGGCAACTCTATTCCTATTTTTAACTTGCCATCCCCAACTGCCTAAAGATGGTTCCAAGGCATCCTGGAATTATTAGGGTAGCAAAAGGCAGGAGAGTGTGTGTTCAGAGCTAGGTCCCAAATAGCCATCTATCTAACTTGAGTTACCAGAACAAAATACCATATACTGAGTGGCTTAAACAACAGAAATTTAATTTTTACAGTTCTAGAAGCAAGTCTAAGATCACAATTCTGGCTGATTCAGTTTCTGAGGGCTATTTTCCTGGTTTACGAATGGCCAACATCTCACTATGTTCTGTCTCACTATGTTCCAGGTTTCATAAGGACACTAATCCTATAGGATCATGGCCCCATCCTATGACAATATGTGATCTTAATTAATATAGTTGTTTTGGGAGTTGGGGTTTCAACATCAGAATTTTGGAAGAACATTTGTATTCTTTTGGTCCATAACATGGTCTGAATGTGTCATCACTACATTGTATTTCATTAACTCTGCATAGGGCAGACATGAACTTGGCCATGTAACTTGTTTAGGGGAGAATCTAAGGCTGGATCCAATGTGAGGAAAAACCCACTGCCACTCAGCTAGTCCAACACTATCCTAGAAAAGGAAATGAAGTTACTCAGGTTCATAGTGCTGGCACACAGCACTCTTATAAACCCAGCTTGCTTTCTAGATTCAAGCTCTATGCAAATCCAATTACCCAGGAATTTATTTCAGAAGAGTCTCTTCATTTGAAGTGGCCAAGCCTTTGCTGAGGTGGCTGGGGTCACTGCAATGCAACAGAGATATCAGATACCTTCTAAACTGTATACATCTCAGCACTTTTTGGTTTACTTTAAGGGATTCCAAGAGTCTCCTGGATCACTCTGATTCTAGCTGATAATGGTCTAGGAACTAAAAGGGATTTCTAAGCCACTGAAACCTTTCTCCCATGAAAGGACCAGCTCTTGCATTTGTTTGTGGTCACAAAAGGCAGTGGACTTTTGTGAGACTGCATCATGTTTGGGGTTCAGCTTTTCCCATCAGTAGTGCTGCCTCAAGTCTGCAGCTCAATTATAACGATAGCTTACACTTGGGTGGTCACTTTGCACAAGCATTGTGCTAGCATGTCATATTGGTCATACTGCTTAATATTCAACCCTGTAGAACTAAATAGTATAATATCCATTTCACAGTTGAGGAAACAAGCTCAGGTTAAATAATTTGCTCAAGGTCACGTAGCTATTCGGAGGTGAAGCTGGAATCTAAAGCTAGACGGTTAGACTCTAGAGCTTGTCTTCTGACCATCTTTCATACTACCTTTAAGTCTTCGATATGGTGGAAGAAAGTCCTGTTCATACATTAGTCTTCTACCTCTCATAATCCCAGATCAAGGCTGAAGGATCCCCCAGATCAACAGCATGTGCTTTTGGTACACCAGCCAGGGGATTGTATTTTGTACATTTTTTTCCCATCTAGTCCTCTCTGCAACCAAAGTTGGTGCAAATGAACTGGGTCACCCTTACTGTAGACTGGAGAAATTTGGATATGGTTCCAAAGACTAAGCTATGATGCTCTGTAAGATGACCGCAGAATTGGGGTTCTTGGTTTCTATTACACTTCTCCATTGCTTCCCAGAATAGGAACCCGGGGAGAATTTTGTACTGAGAAGTGGTGATGGGAGCCCTGGCTAGTCTTTTCTGCACCCCAAGCTTGGCCTTCAGAATGTTTCAATGTCTGACAACCCTTATAAATGTTGCAGAATTGCATGGCTATATGCATCTGGCCAGGGACAAGAGTCCTTATCTTGTTCCAATTCTCAAAGTCCAGTGACCCTAAATGTTTTTGAATTACTGAATTAGATAATCTGTCATTTTTTTCAGTCAAAACTTCTCTAAGTTCTAGTGTCACATTGAGCCAGATGACTCCCCAAAATACTTAATAAAAAGAAAGACTCCTTAGAATAAGGCTAACTTTGAAACTGGTCAAGGTTTTCACAAAGTTCTCTATTCCCTTTAGATTCTTTGAAATTCTTTCTCCTGGAGGGGTTTAGTCATCATTTCTTTCCTGTGGGGTTCTCCAGGGCAAGTTCCTATCTACACGGGAGGAAGTGGCAGAACGCTGCCCTCTCTACCTGACCTTTAAGCCTTTCTGGCTCAGGATGGCTCTTGGGAGACTTCAGGTCCAGGGAGGCTCTTTGGGAGGCTTCAGGTCCAGGGAGCAAAGGGGAGGACAGCGGGTGGAAGGAACTGCCCGCAGAGAGTCTCCAGGGAGTCCTGTTAACAAGAATTTATTCAGCAGGTCAGGCAGCAATTTTCCCTAGAGACCGTTCTGAAAAAACCCCCCAGAGCAAGTAACTGGGGAAAGCTAGAGAGGAGGAGGAGGTTATCATTAAACTGACCTGGGCCACAGCGGCCGGGAAGGCGGATCAAACTTGGGTCTCTTCCTGCTCCGATGGACCAGCCCTTATTCCCTTTCCCATAGCGGCGCAACCAATAACCAGAGTGTTCTCAGAGCTTGGATCTAATTCGGTGAGTTTTTATTGTAGAAATGTGGCTCATGGAGATGTGAGATGCTGATCCCCACAGCCGCGCCCTGCAAGTGAGACTGCACCTCTCCACCGAACCCCTCTCCATCTCTGCCCGCAGAAGGAATTGGCTATTTAGACTTTAGGCGGGACCCACTGAAACTCGGGCGTGGTGTCATTTCCCTAAGGGGACGCGGTCCTCTATGAACATCATTCCAAGGTCCAGCTGAGTTCACGCTAGGATCCTAGTGGCATCCTCAGTGCCAAGGAGCAAGAAAGGCGGTAGCATCTTTGGGGAGACAGCCACAGGGCCAGGGAGTCGGGACCGGCAGCTCCTGGCTAGCTGTGCTCTGGCGGTTCCTGCTCCTTCTGTGGCAAAGTAAGGAATTCAACCCGTGGCAGGCAAGGCTTCTGAGCCCAGGTGGCACACTGTCTTTCAGGATGGTTCCCCGACTGGACCCTCTGTTTAGGGGAAGAAAGACACCCTTTCAAGTACTGGGCTAAGGATCCTGTGCAGCCTCCCAACGTCTCCTTTTTACTTTCGTTGGGAAAAGGTCTGAGCAAAGTGTTTCCAGGGACCAGCAACCTCCGATGTCAATCCCGCTCTGCCCGGTTCATGCTGGAGTGTCTTGGGGAGGCCAGGACGCGGCACCCGGCGGCCTTGGCTTAGTTCAAAGCTACACCGGCCGCGTCTTCCAGGGAGCACGGGCGTCGCGCAGCGAACGGTCGTGGGGCAGCGCGGCGAAGGCCGAGTGGCGCAGCTGGCAGCCGATGAAGAGGACGACGAGCGCCACGGAAAGCAGCAGCAGGAAGAAGAGCAGCAGGTAGGTGGGCAGGTCAGGTTTTGTGGCCGTGCCATCCCGCATACCGCGCGCAGTGGCCAGCTCCAGAGGCAAAGCGCCCTCTGCCTTGACGGTGGCACCAGGAGCCAGAGCACCACCGACCGCTGCCTCGGGGCCGCCCGTGGCGTTGAACACGTCTCCGTACATGGCCCGCGGGTCCTAGCGACCCCAGTAGGACCTCCTCACTTGGCCTCGCGCTGACCTGAGCTAGCCAGCGCTTCCATGGAGCTCTCCTCCCGCCCTGCAAGCAACTGACCTGGAGAGTCTGTGCCTTCCGACCAGAGGGGAAAGCACAGATCCCGGGACCCTCCGCTCACTCTCCTAGGTGCTCGTCTGCCTTTGCCACGCCGCGGTGGACCTCTGCCCTCGGAGCTGCACAGCTCCGTGCCTGCGCCCTTCAAGCTTTCCCTGTTTATCGCTGTTGCCAGCAAGAGAGAGGTCCCAAGTCTCTGATTGTCTCACGGTTTCACAGCCGCTGTCTCGGCTCCGACCCTCAGCTTGGGGGAGCTCCGGGTTCCAGGCGCGCGTCTGGGCTGCAGCGACTGTGAGAGGTGCTGAGTGAGTGCTGCCGCAGCTCCGCACTGGACGCAGAGTGCACCGAGGGCGGGTGGCGCGGAGTCCTCCGAGTCAGTCCTCTGGCGCTGGCGCCACCGCCGCGGCAGCTATCAAGGCAGTCCTGCAGTCCCGGGTCCTTGTCGAGACGTCCCGGTGTGTGTGGCCAGCTTGTCCTCACTCCCTCTGGCTGCTAGGCTCCTGTTTGACCTGGAGATAGCTCTGAGGCAGCTCTGGGCGCGCTTTGGTCCCGGGCGGGGGGAGGGGGCGGGATTGGTGGTGGCTGCCCCCTGGGAGAAGCTGCGAACCAATGAGGAGGACACGGCTGTGACTGCCCACTGCCCGCCTCACATCACTCAGGAACAGAGGATACCAAAGAGCAAGAAAGCTGAGCTGGGGCGGGGGAGGGTTGTTGGGGGGTGGGGGGCGGCGCAGAGGGGAGCCAGAGCAGTCTAGCAAGCACGCCCATAGGGTCACAGAAAGACGGAGGGTCAAAGACACAGCTACAGACCTACGAACAGAGCCACAGGGAAAACAGACAGTTGAGCGATGCAAACTCAGAAACAAGGTTTAGCAGAGCATGGACACCAGCTTTGTTCATTTGATGTCTTCTTTCCAGGCAGAGCCGGTTTGGGTGAAGCCCCCACTGGCTGCTGGATAGCTTAGGCAGGGCACACCCGAGTAAAGGCACAGACTTTTGTTCAAACTGGAGCCTGTGGGTAAGTGTGCTTCTCCACCAGGAGCTCACTTGCTCAACAGCATTTGCAGTCCTGCTAAAAAATAGAGGGGTAAGAGGAGGACATGGTGCTGGCCATGACCCACCCACTTTGGGAACCCCTGGAAAGGACTGGTGGCCAGGACAGAGGTGAGCAGTCAGTTGGACTGGGAGTGGGGAAGTCCCCTTTTCCAGGACTCCAAACTCCTCACTTCCTGCTAGAAACCTTCCAAACCCCCAGCCAGAAGGTGAACCCTGCCCTGGTCCACCATGGATCCTGTGCTTCTTCTTTGTAAGCCCTGGAGATCATTGTCCAGCAAGATCAAAACCGGAGGCCTCAGGTAAGAAGCCTAAGGAACCAAACTAAAGGAGACTCTTGCTTTCAGGGGGGTGACATTCACTGAATGATGAAGAGCTGAATTACTTATTACTTATTCCCCTCTCCCCTCTGCATTTTGTGCCAGGTCACCAGTACAGTAAGAACCACCAAGTTGTTGCAGGCCACAGCTCATCCTCAAAAATCCCTGTGATACCCAGAAGATACCTCTGTGAGCTCTTCATCTGTCTTTAAAACTGTGGTCCCAAGTAGTGACTTTAGAGTGTTTGGCTGCTGAACAAGATGCAAAATAATTGCTCCAAGAGGCTCTTTGTAGTGTTTTCCATTTAATTCCATGGGTAGGTCCCTGAAGGCCTCCCCAGCCAGGGGGGAATTACAAGGAGGGCAGGACCCAGCAGAACTCAGCATGGCCCCATCTGCTCAGTCACCAACCCAGACAGAGCCTACCTTGGTCCTGGGAAGCTGCTGTCTCTACTCTTGGCTACTGCTTAGGTCAACACCTCATTTTTGGAGTGGGAAAACTGGCTCTGAGAGGGGACAGGCCTTATCCTTATTAGCACAGGACAGTTACCATGTAACACTGATGTGGTAGCAGCAATAGTTATGGGCAGGAGTCCCTTTCTCTAAAGATCTGACCTATTTAGACACTCAAACAGCAGGATCCTACAGGAAATTTTGTAAAACCAGAGCAGGCCTCATTGGCTCTTTCAACAATGGGGAGCGATAGCATATGGGCCATATATGGAAAAGGATTACAAACTGTCAGTGACTTCTGGGTCCTAGTTTGAATGCAGAGCTTGAGTAGCTTGGTTTGGGGGTTGGCCTGGATTTTTCTCCTGGAGTCTATATGGGGAGTAACAAGGCCCTTTCCTCTACTTCTTTTCAACTCCATCCATGATACCAGATAAGAACTGGATGGCACAGTTGGAAGGTCCAGATGGAACTTGTGCAGGCCTCAACTCATTGTGGACTATTGAACAAGGAGTGAAGGTAGTTGACTTCCGGTCCTGCTCTGGAACAAGCTGTGATCATCCAGGAAATGATTGTGGAACAGGGAGTCTGCAGAGGATTTGGTGTAGATGGGCATCCCTGCAGTTCCACAATCTCTGAGCCTGGGGGTTCCTAACACTGCTCATTTCTTCCCCACAGCTGCTTTTCATCCCCATGCTGCATCCGGGAATGGAGGAGCTGAGGCTTGAACCTGGGCTTCCCCAGTTCTAGAGTCCATGCACTTGACCACTATGATGAAGCCTCCCATGAAGGAGCAGTTCTGGTAGATGCTATTCATGGCCCTTTTACTATAAGCAGAGCACCAGGCTTCAGAATTCATCTTTTCCCCTATAGCAGCCTGTGAAGGCACTGCTATCATTCCCACTTTCCCCAGGAGGGAGCTGGAACCCCAAGAAGTGGTGTTACTTGGCAAGCTCATGGAGTTGGGTGGTGGAGCAAGCAAGCCACAAACTCGCAGCCTGTGCTCATTCACTCAGTCTTAGCTGCTTTTTCTCCTGAGGAAGAATGTGTGGACAAAATGTCTTTCCTTTTGGCAAAGTTGGAGGAAATATATCGCCCCTTTGGGGGGGGGGGTAGTGTCTTTTGGTCCTGAAGTAGGGAGGGCATGATTTCTTTTTTGAAAGATGTTCAGAGCCCTGAGAGGGCAGTCACGTTCCCTGCACATCCCTGGCAGGAAATTAAACAAGGCCAGTACTGAGTAAATGCAGAGATGAAGTTTACACAGCTTTTTATACAAACCAAGCGACCTTCCATTAAGGGAGCATTGTGTACTCATACATTTAAGTCTTTGGAAAGATTATAAAAGGGGGCTCAGAGGTCAGCTTTGACAGGCAGAGGTCACAGGGCTGGGACCTTAGAGCCACCTCTTTCCCATTACGTAGTTGTTGAGTGACACACACGTGCCTTCCTAGTCTGCCTGTCTGAGAGCAGCCCAGGGAAGCAAGGCAAGGGCGCTTTCCTGCCACATGAGAGCCATTTGGCAGCTGTTGAGTGGAAACTTTGGAGACAGACAGGGAGCATTGGAGCCCCAGGATTTTGTAAACTGTGCTTCATTCTTCCCCCATGCTCTGGGAGTTAAACCACTGATTGTCACACTGAGGCTGGGACTGAAGGTCAAGCTTAAGAGTTGCTATCTCAAGGCTGGAGTTGGATGCTGCTGCATTTGGTATCCCTGTGTATGGAGAGAGGGTGGAGTTAGACTGCTCTAAAATGGAATGACCCCTCCCTCTCTGTGAATGTTGCCAGTGCTCTTGTTTGCAGAAACTTTTTTTTTTTTTTTTAAAACCATCATCCCTGGCAATGGCTTTTCTCTTCCTCCTGCTCCTCCTCCTCTTTCTGTTTTTACAGGTAACTTTGGCAACTGCCGTGGTCTGTGATTTAAGGTGATATTTTCAAATGGCCAATTTAAGAACTAAACAACAAGTAGCCCAAGGCTAGATTCCAAAATGAAACTTTTCCCAAGGAGAGTAGGCAATAAAGGACTTGGGAAATGGTCATGCTAGGTGTTCAAGGTGGCTGTAGTTTGGATGGTGAAGTGGAGCAATTGGAGAAAAGATGGGGTGTGAGGGAGAGGTGGTACTACGAGGAGAGAAACCACAAAAGGATGTAGTCTCCTATGTCAGAAACAGCATCTCTGGCTCTGTCATCCAGTCCATTGGTCTGTGGGTCTCTGGCTGATCAGATAGTGGGACGGAGAGTCAGTCTTGATATGAGTGACTAGGGACATTAGAAGAGGGTGCAAAGCTGGACTTGTAGGCCAAAGGTGTGGGCTCTGACTCTTGTGATGGCTGTTACTGGGTGTGCAAGTTTTTTAACTAAATGTTCCCACCCACTGGTTAGTTCCTCAACATTGTTCTTATTGGTTTGAATGACTCGTGACCTTGCCTGCCTCTCTGGATCCCTTCAGATGTGTGGCTTCAAGCCAAATGGGCCCCAGTGATACAAGGCTTCCAGGTCACTGAGACTGAGAGTTGACTGATCATCACCCCCAGAACCCCATCACCTCCCTTCTCAGGGATGGGTGGGGGTTTTGAAGGGCAGTGAAACTATACTTTTCCTCTTGCGGCCTGGGCCCAACCAGGGGTGCTGGGGTGGAATCATGAATGGGATCACTACATACTAAAGGACAGGCCACCACTCTGACCACAAATTAGGCAGTTGGCTGGAGCTGGGATAGAGCTAGCATGTGACAAAAGAAATGAGGGGACTTGGTAACAGGAGGGTTGTTTGGGATTAGTAGCTTGTCTCAGGGGCACCTGGTAGTCTAGCTTAAGTTCCCTGTCCCTATACTTCTATGTGCCTGACTTGGGAGATTCTGCTTGGAAGAGGCTGGGAGCCAGAGGAAGTATTTCCCACACAGACACAGAGACAGGTAGCAAGGAAGGGGAGAGTGAAGCTTAGTGGAGGAAGAGGCTCCTCCTCTCAGTGGCACTGATGGAGAATGGCTTCAAGGACTGGTCTGGGGCCAGGTAGCAAGGCTGGGGCCAAAGAACTCATTGAGGAAGTACCTGAAGATACCAGGCAACAGGGAGGCTTTAGAGCACGGTGCTGATGGGAGCCTTAGGAGAGGAGGGGAGGGGAGAACTTGGTAGGAAGAGCCTTAAGTTAAAAGTGTCTCCTCCTGGCTTATCGACGCTTTTAGTAATCCCCTGTCAGGCAGGATGTATGAAGTGGTGGCAGCACTGGGCTCACTAATCCAGGGCAGGATCCTCTTTCCTCTGCTGAGGCTGGGGCTGGTGACCCTTTGCAGAAGGCTGTCTAGTCCTGGAGGAAGAGGCAAGTGCCAGGGGTTGAAGACTCAACAAGACTCACCTCTCCTCAGAAGTCCCCTCTCCCAGGCCCTGGCCTCAGCTTACCCTTCCTTCCTGCACTCTCTTGGGCTGATGACACCTTGAGACAGTCCCAGCTGCCCTCTGCTGGATCTGACCATGTGCCTCAGATTCTGCCTTCCTAGGCTTCAGTCATGGGTTGACCTCTGAGTCTGGGCTGAGGTCAGAGTCCAGGAGGTTGGCCAGCTCCCCCTTGAAGCCAGTGACTCACTGCTCTCTTAGGTGGTGTGAAGCCCAGATATGTTGCAGGCTTCAGGTCCTTGCTGGCCTTCTTTCTCTTCCTGCCGTAAGTATTTCCACTGGTGCAGCTATTGCCAGGCCCAAAGCCCTGTTATGGGA